CCATCCAGGGGATGGGAAGGAGCCGCATTCTGAGCAACTCGTCACGAATGACAGAGCAGAAGGTCTAGAGATGGGAGATGGGTCCAAAGTCATGTTTGAAAGAACAAGACAGGGGGACATTTTAAAGACCTTCTCTAGTCTACCCAAAGAGCAAATGGGGAGTTCTAGGGAGGCTAACAGAATGACGCAGACAGACTCATGCCCAGGCCAGAGAATGAATGCTGAGGACACAGGCAAATTATTCCCAGGGAAAGGAATCCCAAGAATTGCAAAAGTTACATGTAGTGAGTGTGGGCAAGGCTTTAGTGCTAAGTCAAGCCTTATCACACACCTGAGGACTCACACAGGGGAGAAGCCCTATGTCTGCAGGGAATGTGGGCGAGGCTTTATTCAGAAGTCAGACCTCATTAAACACCAGAGGACACACACAGGGGAGAAACCCTATGACTGCAAAGAGTGTGGACGAGGCTTTAGCCGTAAGTCAGTCCTCACTATACACCAGAGGACACACTCAGGGGAGAAGCCCTATGTCTGCAGGGAGTGTGGACGAGGGTTTAGTCAGAAGTCACTCCTCACTGTACACCTGACGACACACTCAGGGGAGAAGCCCTATGTCTGCAGGGAGTGTGGACGAGGGTTTACCCAGAAGTCAAAACTCATTATACACCAGATGATACACTCAGGGGAGAAGCCCTATGTCTGTAGGGAGTGTGGACGAGGGTTTAGTCAGAAGTCATACCTCATTACACACCAGAGGACACACTCAGGAGAGAAGCCCTATGTTTGCAGGGAGTGTGGACGAGGCTTTAGCCGGAAATCAGCCCTAATTATGCACCAGAGGACACACTCAGGGGAGAAGCCCTGTGTCTGCAAGGAGTGTGGACGAGGCTTTTGTCAGAAGTCATACCTCATTACACACCAAAGGACACACTCAGGGGAGAAGCCCTATGTCTGCAGGGAGTGTGGACGAGGCTTTTGTCAGAAGTCAGTCCTCACTGTACATCAGAGGACACACTCAGGAGAGAAGCCTTATGTCTGCAGGGAGTGTGGACGAGGCTTTAGCCGGAAACCAGGCCTCATTAAACACCAGAGGACACACTCAGGGGAGAAGCCCTATGTCTGCAGAGAGTGTGGAAGAGGCTTTAGCCGGAAACCAGCCCTCATTAAACACCAGAGGACACACTCAGGGGAGAAGCCCTATGTCTGCAGGGAGTGTGGACGAGGCTTTAGCCGGAAATCAGCCCTCATTATACACCAGAGGACACACTCAGGAGACAAGCCCTATGTCTGCAGGGAGTGTGGGCGAGCCTTTACTCGGAAGTCATACCTCATTACACACCAGAGGACACACTCAGGGGAGAAGCCCTATGTCTGCAAGGAGTGCGGGAGAGGATTTATCCAGAAGTCAGTCCTCAGTAGACACCAGAGGACACACTCAGGGGAGAAGCCCTATGTCTGCAGGCAGTGTGGACGAGGCTTTACTCGGAATTCATCCCTCATTATACACCAGAGGACACACTCAGGGGAGAAGCCCTATGTCTGTAAGGAGTGCGGACAAGGCTTTATTCAGAAGTTATACCTCATCAGACACCAGAGGACACACTCAGGGGAGAAGCCCTATATCTGCAGGGGTTCTGGACGAGACTTTGGTGATAAGTCACACCTCATTGGACACAGGAGAAGAAAATACAGCGAACACACACCTCCATCTCCCCAGCTTTGAGAGGCTTCAGTTCAAGTCCCCAAGAGAGTGAAGAGCACAGAAATGAGTGGGTAAGCAGGTCCTCCATTTTCATGTCAAGGGAAGATGTCGAGCAACTCCAAGGGTCCCTAAAGTGGGCAGGTGGTTCTGCCAATCCTCTCCCATGATGCTTTAGTCGTTTGTAGTAAATATTGCTTTCACACAGAGCTGTAGTCCAAGCCACATACCTTACTCCCTCATCAGAGAAGACACAGAGAACTCACATTCTCAGCCCAGATTTCCACAGCACTTTGGTCCCTGAAAAGCTGAAGTGTAGATTCTGACTAAATGATTGGAGAATCTAATGTGGACTTGGGGAGAGAAGTTGGGACCCTCTGAGAAGGGAGCACTTTGATTCCCTGGGAATTATAACCCCCTCTCTCAATGACCACTCCATAACGAACCACCTGGAAGCATAGTTCTCTGGCTTAATACCCCCCAGGGCCCTTGAGCCACATTTCTCATAGAACACCAATCTAGGCCTCTCCCCTTGACTTTGTTCCAAACAAACCTCTCCTCAGACCATCGTGTCAGCCATACCACAGAATACCAGGCAAAGCAGGTTCAGTGATGAGCTCCAAAACTCAGAACCACATGGGTAGGAACACTTTAAAAGTTTGATGGCTTATAGCTAGTGGAACTTGTAGTGAAAGTAAGAAATTGTGTGCGTTTCAATTTCCCTGGGCTTGGCGGCCCAGAGTCGACAACTTGGGTGAGACCAAAGAGCAAGACCAAGTGGGGGAGCAGACACACCATGGAAAAACACCACAGGAACCTCAGAGCAAAGGTGGACAATACACTTTGTCAGATTTGCTTTACTCTGATTTTCTTTTCTGATATCTGTTCATTGGCCACCCACTGTTTGCACACCTCCTTCTGGTGACTAGAGGGGGTGCCTGAGCGAGTGGACACCCCCCACCCTCACCACTGGTGGGTTCTTCTGCCACGCATGCGGCTTGGCTTCTGCTGTTTGACAGGGTCCCAGCAGAAGGAGAAACGACATGTGAAGCAGATGATTCTCAGAAGCTGGCTTCTATCTTCTAAGATAACTCTGAATTCACCTGTAAAAATATATAATATGGTCATATTCACAGCCTTTACTGTGAGTTCTGCAGACCTTGGGAAGAAACCGGTCTGGCAATAATTGTTTCAACTTCAGTGGTTTGAATTCAACGGCTTTAGTGTCTAATGCCTGCTGGAGAATTTTCCACAAAGAAAAAGCATTAACTGGCATGTCAGCAGCCTCATTCTCAGCATACCAAGATCTCATTTCTTTTCCAACAGCATCCCATGTTTCTAAATCTAGGGTTCCTTTCTCGGGGAACCAAGGACTATCTGTATAAATTCAAAAAAACAAGTAACTGTGATATACTAACTTTAATACCTTTCATCTGCAATGAATGTTTAATAATCTATGCATACAGCTTTCGATCTTTAAACTCATTTTGACCCATGGCTTAAAGCGTAACTTCAATAATTAATCATTTTATAGACTAATTATGGCACATAACGTCTCAAAAGTTCTGTATCTTCTCACCTATCACTTAGGTGACACTCACTTGTCAGGGGTCCGTGGTACCCAGGCTGAGGTCCTATCCACACCGAAATCTCTTTTTAATTGTTTATCTTAGTTCATTAGTCATATATCTGTACCTATCCTTCTCGAGCCCCACGTTTAAGGTGCCACTTGCCAGGGGCAGCCTCGGCAAATTATTAGGAGGGTCTCAATAGGAGGATGTGGAGTCGGCGAATGAAATAAAAATAAAAAAACTCACAAAGAGTCAATGGGTCATTTTTGAGTCTCAGGCAGATGATGGTGGTGACTCTGATGACTCCCCGGCTGACTGCTGCCTTGACTCTGCTTTATTTTAAAATTGTTGCTTCTTATATCTCATTTAGAACATACTATGATCTCATAACAGTCACGTACAAGCAGTTACAAATCAATGAAATATTGTATCGTTACATCAATGGTACAAGAGGAACACAAAGTCACCAAACATTCCTGTGTCTTATATCCCTTAGTCCTTACTTGCCTAGATAACGTCTGCCTTCTGTGAGCGACTCTGTTTTTCTTTAATCCTCCCTAAAATGTCTAGTTAATATTAAACAAAATTCTACATCTTAATTTCTAACTTTACCAACATCTATTAGTTTCTATAGATTCATTATTTACAGATTACAATCAAACACTTAATTTCTACTATAACTGGTCATATACATAATTGATCAAATAATAAAAACAAGAACATAAAAGTACCCTAAAGTTTCATAGTTAAGAACAAAGCAGTAATTCTCTCACACTTAACAATTTCTCAAAACTTCTAATCAGAAAAACAATCCAATTTTAATATCATCATTGCTGTGATCAGAAAAATGTGAGGTTCTAGTACACTGCCAAATGACAGTGACAGATTTTTCCAAAATCTGATTTTCTTTGAAAGCTCAAATTTCATCATTACCAATGAATACTGTCAGTTGTTTATCTTGACATAAAAGACCCACTTCATTCATTCTTGAGAAAATGTCTGCTAAATAACCAAATCAGAAAAATCTCACTCTGCCTGTCCATCATTTTTGAATTTACAATGTGTTCTATGAAAGAGTAATTGGTTCTGCTCACAACTCAAACTGCAAAAATTATTTTTCTTGAAACAAGCATTGTCCTTCATTATGCAGAAGTGCTGTATCTATAGTTCCTATCTCAACATGAATAATAATTAAACTGAAATGCACTCAAGATCAAGATTTAATAAATTATCATTTGAATTACTACATCAAGGACATTCTTAAATAAAACTGGTATATATATCTAAAAAAAAAACCAAAAAACTTCTAATCAAATTCCTACCTCTGTTCCCAAGCTCTCACTGCCCTTGACTGTCTCCTAAGTTGTTTTCTAAAAGCCTTAATGTCCTTGACTAAAACCACCTGGGATGTTTCTTACAACTTTAACTTTGAATTGCTAAAACTTTAGCTAGTGTGGTTGTCTCTAATGTTAAAATTTATTGTTAATGTAAAATTTAATTTTTATAACTACATAAGATCGAATATGGTGTGAAAGGCAACTATCTTAACATGAGGTTTGTTTAAAGTATGATTATGCAAGATTTTCTAAAACTTTTTATAAGGAAATTAGAAATAAACTATTTTTCCAAGGGAAAGCTAGAAACCGAGGGTGTCCCGCATGAACCATCCATTGTAGCTTTGCTAACCAAGGAAAACATTCATTGTCGCTCTGCTAAACATTGTACTTTTCATGCATAAGGCTTCTCGCAGTTCTGCTCCTTGGCAGGATGGTGTCCGCCATTTGCAGGCAGAGTGTCCTCTCCGAGGCTCCACATGGAGGAGCGACCTGCTTCGTTCCTTTCAAACTGACTGACCAGGAGGACACACGGGACGTCTCCTGGTGCCTCAGCAAAGCATCCACTTGCACATCTTCCTGGAACGCCGGGTCTCTGATATGATTCAAATTCAGAAATGACAAAATAAAGACAAAACATACAAAAAGGGCGGCGTAGAACGCCTGCTTACCGGCCGGGGGATCAAACACTGGATGGGAGGAGAGGATTGGGGGGAGGTGATCCCAGACGGCCCCGAAATGTACCCACTTTTTCTGTCCCCAAGAAATGACTCACCTCGCGTATGCAATCAGCAGTAGCATTTATTGATCTCAGAAGAACACAGTATGCGGTGGGTCTACCATCCAAATTGGTGGCGACCCAGAAAGCAGGCATGCAGGCCTTTTTATAGGCAGTCAGAGGGAGTTTCCTGTGGTAGTATGTAGCTTCCAAACTTATTGGTCATATTATGAAACATTCAAAATGATGGGTCAGTGTTGGCTACTTGAATCTTATTGGCTCTCATTTGGGAAGCTCTCCTTGGGGGAGGTCATCAGTGCCAGATGTTGGGTGTGTACCGGTAGGTGGAGAGGAATGCCTGTTTTGGGTGTGTACCGGTAGGTGGAGAGGAATGCCTTTAGGGAAGAGGAACTGAGCTTTTCAAACAAAAATTCTGGTTAGGGTCTTCCTGGTTCTTCAAGAGGGAGGGTCAGAGAAAGAGAGGAAGACCCCCAACAAGATGGATCAGCCAGGTGGCATCATTGATGGCGTCAAGTATGGCAGCGATAGTGAGATTGGCCCAGGATCGGACATTGTTTCATTCTGCTGTGCATGGGATCGCTATGAGTTGGTTCCGACTTGATGGCACCTGACAACAACACCAACATATGCATACTAAGGTTGGATAATAAATAAGGAAAACAAAATAAAGATTGATGCCTTTGAATTATGGTGTTGACAGATCATATTGAAAAACCATGGATTAAAATGAAAAAGAAGAACAAATACATCTGTCTTGAAAGAAGTTTGGCTAGCATGCTCCTTAGAACTGAGGATTGTGGGAAAATATTTGTATGACCACTTTCTTTTTCCTTAGACTACTTCCTGGAGTAAGGAACTTATGATCACTTTCTTTTTCCTTAAACTACTTCCTGAAGCAAAGAATCTATGATCACTCTCTTCTTCTTTTCCTAAAGTAGGAACGTGCACCTTAAAAATTTGAACTAGCCAACCAGGTAAGGGAATAGATTGTGTGGTCAAAACCCTAGCCAATAGGGTGAGACACAGCCTTGAGATTCGTGTCAGGGATTAAAAACCCGAGTGGACTGCCCACCCACTCGGTGTGCTCGCTGACCTGTTTGTGTATGTACGGCTATGCGCACGCACCCTCTTAAATTTTACTTTGCCAAAGTAATTTAGTCTCACCCAGTGTCTTTAACGCGACATTGGGATTCATTTCTAACAATTCGGGGGCCTGTCCAGGATTTCCCATTCCCTTTGGGAAGCAGCTTTAGCCTTCTCCTCTGAGGGAGACACGTCCTGCTGTCCAGTTACAGCAGGCCTCGGGTGAGATCTGCTGAAGTCTCCCGAGGAAGTGAATCAATCCAGACCCTTGGCAAAGTGGGAAAAAGGCCTACTCGA